TTATCTTTTGTCCCTCTTTTCTTTTTCTCCCAGAGCTGAGGACCGAACCCAGGGCCTTGCACTTGCTAGGCAAGCTAAATCCCCAGCCCCCCTTTTTATTTTTTAAGTGAAACAATAATTTAATGGTTTATCTTTTTTTTTTTAATTCATTTATTTATTTTTGTTGATAGGGTCACACTATGTAGCCTGGGCTAAATTGAAATGAACTCTTGTCCACTTTGGACTTGTAGCTTAGCCTTCAGGGTGCTGGCATTACAGGTGTGAACTGCTACACCTGGCTCATTAATTCATTCAGTGCATTTAGCATGTGACACATAGGTATTGTGTTAGGTGCTTCCAAAAAATATAAACAAGGTGCAACCCTCCAGGAGACAACTGCATCCCCCCCACCCCCAGGAGTTTTCAGGGTCAGTTGAGTTTATATCTACATTCTGGAGTATTTGACAGTCTCATTTTATTTTTCTGTTTTTGGTTATTTGGTTTTTACTCTCGCCCAGGCTGGGCTGGAACTCATTGGGTAGTCTGGTCACAGACTTATGGCAATCCTCCTGCCTTAGACTTCTGATTACTGGCATTAAAGGTCTGTGTCATCACACACCTGCCCCTTGCCTCATTCTCCCCCCCCCCCCCCCCCGACAGGATTTCTCTGTATAGCCTTGGCTATCGTGGAACTTGCTCTGTAGACAAGGCTGGTGTTGAACTTACAGTGGTCTGTCTGCCTCTGCCTCCTGAGTGCTGGGATTAAAGGTGTGTGCCATCACTGCCTCGCCTTGCCTCATTCTTGATGAATCTATTTTCTATATGCTTTAATATATCGATGGCATGCTTGCAAGGGATTAACTATTTACTTTCCATTTGGTATCATTAAAGGAGATGTGTTTCCCTTAATGAACTAAGATGTTCAGTTTTCTGTTGTTTTGTTCTATTTTTCTTTTTTGAGAAAGGGTTCCTCCATTTCCCGGTTGGCCTGAGATTTATTGTACAGACCAGAACAGTCTTGAACTACCTGCCTCTGCCTCCTGAGCACTGGGATTGAAGGCATGTATCAACATGCCTTGCTCATGTTCATGTATTTTTAAAGTCCCTTTTTAAAAAGCCATTGTTCTCTTCCTTCATATCAAAATTTAGTTACATCTTTAATTAATATATTAACTGACTTTTATATTTGTACTTTTCTTTCTTCTTTGTTTTCTTTTTTCCTGGTGCTGGGGACTGAACATGAGGCCTTGAACTTACTTGGCAAGCCCTCTTTAGAGTCAAATTCCCAACCCCTGTACTTTTCTATATTTGGCTTTATTGCCTGTAAGTATGTATTATTGACATAACCAGAGAAAACATGAAGGCTAGATTGCCTCTTCTTCAATTCCTTCAGGTCTCAGGAGTGGAATAATGTGGTTTGAACATTAACCTGAGTAAAGGTTTTTCTTGCTCCTTCTCCAGGATGTATAGTCTTACCTTCAACCTCATTAATTCCTGCTGCCCTACTTTCTAAGTCAATACATCATTAGTGCCCACAACCAAAATACTATTTTATTTTGTCCTTTAAACGTCTTTTAAATACCAACTTCCTTTTTCTCAGAGGCAGGCTCTCATGGAGGCCCAGCTAATCTCAAAATCACTGTGTGGTTGGGATAACTTTGAATTTCAGGTCTTAAGGCCTCCATCTCAATGCAGGGCTGATGCATGAGCACCATCATGGCTGGGGGGGGTGTGGTGCTGGGGATCAAACCCAGGGCTTTGTATGCTGGGCGATCATGCTACCAACTGAGCTACATCTCCAGTCCTCTCCTCATTCTTTCTATCCTACCTGGCTATTGTATAAGTTGGCTCTTTATCATCTCACCTATATTACACATCATCCTTCTAATTAATCTACCCACCTCCAGCTGCATCTCTGTCCAGTCAGGTCTTCTAAATCATGAGTCCTTCCTACCTTGCATCCATCACTGGCTCCCTGCTGTCTGTGAGAGTCTGAATCAGATTCTCTCAGACACACTGGCTTACAAATTCTGCTTTATCTCTTGTTCCTTCTCAGGAAGTGCCCTGTAGTTAAGGAGCCTCTGCTTCCTCTGTGTTTCATGGATCTGGCTCTTCTTTGTCTTACAGAGTTGGACATTGTTTTCCTTCTATTTTGAAAATTCATCCTTCCTTTCCCTGACAACTATTCGACTAGTTAGAAAGCTAGGCTCAGGATGCCTCTTCTCCATTCTCTCTCCACTCTACCTCAGTCTATCTGATCTTACTAGATCCAAATGAATAACAAAGACAGTGGTTGCCAGGGGTTTTTTTCATGGAAAGCTTTGAAAACACGAACTTATTAAACACAATGACCCTATTAGGTAGGCAATGCCTTAAACTTCTTTTTTTTGTAACATGTCCCACTGTTTCCAAATGGCCTAGTTAGCTATTCTCCCAGTGGACAGTCTCAGTCAACTTCATGTCCCTAGCAACTGGCTACAAGTTCTCTAAATGGTCTTCTTTTTCTTCGTCTTCATCTTCTTCATTTTTTTTTCTTTGAATATGATGAAATCGGTAGCACTTAACTAAGCCTTGATCTTAGGATAAGGTGATGGGAGATTTCACAGGCCAGTGTGGAAGACACTTGGATTCCAGCCAGAGTCTTTGGAGTTCCTCTGTCACCTCTGCTCTAGATGATATTGCCACCCCCCTGGTTGCTCAAAAAAAAAAATGACCTGTAGTTACCTTGTGTCTACCTTTCTTCACATCTGCACCTCAGGGGAGTTCTCTGAACTCTTTCACCTTTTATTTCCACAGCAACTACCCCACTCCAGGTAACTGCTACTATCTACACCATATATTTACCCAATAACGTCTTTGTTATCTTTGTTCCATTTCTGTTATCCTCCAGAGACCATTCTCTATAAAACGGTAAAGATGTAAAAACCTGAGATGAAAACTAAACAACACACACACAAATAAACAAAACAAAACCCAAAACAACAATAAAGCCCAGGTTGGGTGTGGTGGCACAGGGCTTCAACACCAGAGGAGGCAGGTGATCTCTGAGTTAGAGGGCGGCCAGGACTACATAGTAAGGCCATGTTTTACCCCACCCCCAACACAAGAACTCTGTATTTTCTTTCCTTTGCACTTATGAATAAGAATCCAAACAACAGGACTGGGCCCCTGCTCAAGGCTCCAGCCTCAGCACCTCCCTGCCTCCCGTAAGTGTGCTCCAGCCCTCTGCTCCTCCAACCAGCCAAAGCTGTTCAGTATCAGTCCCTTCACACTCATTCTCCTCGGTTGGACCCTCCTGCCATGGCTGGCATGACTAGTTCTTCTTTACTTGAGTCTTAGTTCAGATCACCTTCGAAAAATCAACCCTGCCTTTGTCTTTACAAAATGTAGTGGTTAGTTGTTATGTGTAATTTATGTCCTTGAATTCCTTGTGTTATTTTATGAAAACCTGGGAAACCTTTAAAATTATGTCACATCTATCCCTGACCACTCTGTATTTTCTCCTAACACTGATCTCAACTTGCAATCATCTTATTTTTCTTTTCCACTAGAAACACACACTTGGCAATTGCAGCAGCTGCTTCTGTTTTTATTCCCAGTTATGCCTTGAAATAATGGGACATTTCAAGTAATTTAAAAAGTGACCTTGAGAATAATCAAAAAGTGATGCGGATGATTTAGGACAGAGATAAAGCAGTTTAGGCCTTGGACTTCTCACAGACAAAGATGTGGGTAAACTTAGGGTAAAGGTGGGTGAAAGAGAAAGCTAAAGGAAACAGACTAAAGAGTTCCTGTCAGCCTGCAAAAATTGAACTTCAGATCTTCCTACCTTTGTGTGTGTGTGTGTGTGAGAGAGAGAGAGAGAGAGAGACAGAGAGAGAGAGTGAGTCAGGCTCTTCTGGAACTCATTGTCTAGACCAGGATGGCCTCCAACTCACTTGCCTTTGCCTCCTAGGTGCTGGGATTAAAGGTGTGCACCACCAAGCCCAGGAACTGTGTTACCCAGCTCAGTATTTTTTTTTTTTTTTTTTTTTACATCGAATAAATGAAACAAGGAAAAGGAAGAGTCTACTTTATCAGAGTCCCAAAAGAAGTGAATTCCTGAGTCCCAAATGTTCTAACTGGTGGGACAAGAGGAGGAAGCAAAAGCAGCTGAGCACTTTAAGTGTATCACCCAAACTGTTGGCAAAAGCATTAGTCACAGCTGTCCCAGAGGTGGCAAAACCTGGGTGCCTTTGTGCAGGGCACAGCTCTCTGAGCAGTGCTGCCTGCCATGGGCCTTGCTTGAAAGGTCTGTGGAGGAGGCAGTTCTTGGAAGTCTCAGGCATTGGTTCAGGGAATGTGACTTGGAAAGTTATGGTCAACTGGACAGAGTAGTGACTGACTCAAAGATTAGCAAAGCCTGTTTAGCTGACTTGTTTTGCAGGTCAAGAGGGACTCTTCAGTCTGTTTCTTTTGGCTTTCTCTCTCACTCACCTTTACCCAAAATTCACCCACATCTTTGCCTATGAGAAGTTCAAGGCCTAAACTGCTTTATCTCTGTCCTAAATCTATCCGTATTGGGTTTTTTGTTTTGTTTTGTTGTTGTTATTTAGTCCCAAGGATGTTTTTTAAAGTACTCGATTATCCCATTACTTTAGCTGACTCATTTCTGTCTTAGTTTGGGTGTTGCTGAAAGACTCAGTTAAGTAGAATTTAGACCACAAAGCGACTTGTGACCGGTTTTCGGCCACCGCTTCTGTCTTGTTCCTTAAACGGTAGTGTCAGCGTTAGCGCCAGACGTCCCTCGTCCCACGCTACCACACAGGTTGCCTTTTCGGACTCTCAGGAAGTTGACTGGGTCCCAGGTCCCCTCGTGGCCACGCCGGAGGAGGGCTGGGGTGGAGCCAAAGAGCCAGGTGTCTGCAGAAGCCCCGCGGGTACCCGAGCGCTGGGGAGGGGGCGTGGCAGTGGGCGTTGCCAGGCGCCGCAGGACCACCAATGGCATCCCGGAGCTCGGGGCGATGCGCGTGACGCAGCCGCGGGCTGGGAGGTTGGGGCGGAGAACGGGGGTGGGGGCCGCTGCTTTATCTTCCTCCGCAGCGGGGCTGGCGGCGTTGCGGGCCGGCGAGAGCACATCCCGACGCGGCGACCCTCCCGCGGCCGCCCAACCTACCGCCTAGACTGCCGCACTGCCCTCCGGCCGCAGGTAACCCGAGCTTCCGCTCCCCTCCTCCTTTCCTGTCCGGGTCTGCCCCGAGCCGGAGAGGAAGGGGACTGCGGCGGCGGCGCTGCTCCGGTTCCGCGGGCCTGGCCTGGGCCAGACGGTCCCGCCGAGGCGCTGCCTGCTGCCGGGGGAGGGTCCCGCTGAGTTTGGAGGGGAGAGCAGGAGAGTCCTCCGCAGCCTTTCGGATGACTGGCAGCCTTTCAGTGTCAGGGATGTTCTGGGGTCCCGTTGCATCATGCGGGTCTCTCAAGCCAGTCAGTGAAGAAAGTTGAGCATGAGAAGTCATCGCATTCTCTGAAAGCGCATTTTTTCATGCGCTCAGGAAGTCAGTGTTTTGTTTTGTTTTCTGATGTGAGCGGGAGAGGTGTGTGTGAGGGAAAGGCGGCACTGCCAGACACCAGACTCTGTAGGGGCAGGGGCTCCAAAACCTTGAGTCAAGCTCACCTTCTGTTTTTAAGTAGCAGCGGGGAGTTAAGTTTCTGCTTTTGATCTTAAGTGTTAATAGGCATGTAACTTAAGCGATATATACATGTATGTGTGCATGTATATGTAGATGTATGTGCATATATATATATATATGTATATATATATCGCTTACATTAGTTATTTGTGAGAAATTACCGTAAGCTCCATTCTCTGCGTTTTATATGAAACTAGGAATACTTAAGTAGTTGCCACTTTTGATTTCAAACTACTTGCCTTCTTCGTTAATGCGGAATCCAACTTGAACATTTTTTTTCCCTGTTTGCTTTCAATTGGGAAGTATAAATGAATTGCTAAAAAACCGCCAGCACAGGCATCCGGGAGCGGGGCTTGCAGAGAGCTCTGGTGCTGTGGACAGTAAGCAGGGGAAACGTGGAGAAGCACCCGGCTCGGCGTGTCACGTGTTTGGAACTGGTCTGGGTTTCACGTTCTCTTAGGACTCAGCCCAAGCAGGGCGCCTGACTTCAAGCCTGGGCGGGTTCTCCAGGCTCCAGCTTCCTTTCTTGTCCCTGAAAAAGCTTCCTCTTATCTTCTAGAGCATTTCCCCCAGGCCTTCTGCGTTTTTTTTTTTTTTTTTTTTTTTTTGCCCCCTTCTCTTTCTCACATTCCTCAAACCAAAGATCACTTCCCTGTGGGAGCCACTAACCCTCTGTAAGTCTCTTTACCGGCAGCTAGTTAATCATCTCTTGGAAGTAGATGCTTTCATTGTTTTCTAGTGGATTCACAAGGCTAGTCTTTTTTTCTGCCTTCTCAGGGTCTGGCCCAGTACATAGCATGAACAGAACTAAAGAGTTGGAGGGCCAAAGAAAGAACTTTCAGAAAATGGTAACTAGGCAATGCCTGTTTTCCTATGAATTCCACTTCTCAGACGAGACTCTTAGGAATTTTTTTTTTTTTTTTTGCCAAATTGGGTAACTAGTTATATTCAATCATTTGTAAGTAAAATAAACTTGGTTGTAAATAAAGTTCTCTTGTTCTTCAGTCTTGTTAATTGACCCAGTCCTGTTAGCTACATGAAAAAGTTGTAGGATAGGACAAACCATTTTTGGAGGGAAGAAAATGACATTATGCTTTGGATGTTAATTTCTTACTATCCCTCTCTCCCTTCTTCGGGCAGGATCTCATTTAGCCCAGGCTGGCCTGACACTGTGTAGCTGAGAATGATCTTGAGCCCCTGGTTCTCCTGCCTCAACCTCCTAAGTGCTATGATTATAGGTGGTACTATTGTGTCGGGGAGTGGACTGTCAGTTCTATCCCCAGTGGTTTCTGTTTTCCACTGAACTTCAGGGAGTTGGTCACCTGCAGTAGGTACCCAGTATTTATTTGTGATACAGATTTTTAGGTTCTTTTGAAATCTTTGTTAATGAGAACACTGTAGACAGGCTATAAAGTGGACATTTCTCTGGGACATGATTCATTTGTTTCTCTAATTCCTTTTATTTGCTTTCTGGAGACAAGTTGGGTGCTTACCACAGAACGTTACATAACTTCCCTGTACAGATCGGTTTCTTCCATGATTGTCTACTCAGTGTGTGTGTGTGTGTGTGTGTGTGTGTGTGTGTTTAGCTTGGAGGGTGGGGGTGGTATGCACACGCCATTGTAGTGAGTATGGAGGGCAGAGGGCAACCTGGTGGAGTTGGTTTTCTCCTACCTTTACGTGGCTTCCAGGGATTCAGCTTGGGTTGTTAGGCTTTTGTGGCAAGCATGTTTTACCTACTTGGCCACCTGACCAGCCCCACTGCTTAGCTTTTGTCACCTAAAAGGAGGGTAGTTCCACCATACAGATCTTTTCCAACTTTGTAAAGGAAGTGGAAATGTGTGGTAGCTCAGGCCTGCAATCCTAGTACTCCGAGGCAGAGGAGGCAGAAGTAGGCAGATCTGAGTTCCCGGGCAGCCACTGCTATATAATGAGTCTCAAAAAACAATAAGTGAAAACCCAAACAAACGGGCAAAAAAAAAAAAAAAAAAAAAAAAAAAGAACAATAAGAGGTACAAATGTTAATGAGCTTGTGCCCAGCTCTATGGATGGTCCTTGTTTTCTCTCGCTGCTGGGCCTCTTGTGAGAACAGTCCTATGATCTGCTTTCAGTTCCTCAACACGTTTTGCAACCTACTCCAATACATTTGACCTTCCTGAAACCAACTGTCCACGTAGTTAGTAAAACACCCACTTTTAGCATGTTTCTACATTGTGAAATACCTTTCCCAAGTTCCACCCTCTTTTTTTTTTAATAACCCTTATTATTAAAAAAAAAAAAACAAAAAACAAAACATTGCAAATACATAAGAAAATGTTACACCACCCTTCTTTTTGTGTTTGTTTTCTACTACTGACCCCGGAAAATCCCTCTGAATCCTCTGGCACCTCCCCCCCCCCATCCTTTGCTCCTTTTTCTTCTATAAGATCTTTGCTTTTTGCCCTTTTGCTGTTAACTTTTTAAATACCCTGTAATACTGGGGAGCTTACATAACTATCTCTAAGCCCGTATGCTACTATCTACTGCTTACTATGTTAAATAAAATAGTAGCCTGGCTATTTCCTGGGGAACCTACCTGGGAAACTTCCTGAACTTGTGCCTTAGCCTTAACTCTCTGTGCACTGATGCAGCCCAGATCACTATCTTCAGCTCAGACTTGTGAGTTCACCTGGCCTTTTATACCTTGGCTGGCCTGCAGGCACATAGTACTGCTCTTATCTATGCCTTCTTCCAATAAGTAGCATGATGGTATGCCTAACCTTTCTGAATTAGCATACTCGCTTGGGATCTTTTGTGTAGCCAGCTACACACCTCAAAGACTTCTCAGAGTTAATCATTTGTGAATTTATCTAATCTCCCTTATCTCTTCCCTCTTCATTTATTTTCCCAATAAACACATGTCATATGAGTCTTCAGGCCTTATTGCTTTGTATGTGGGTTTATTGTTGGCACTGCTGATCTTGCTTCTCTTTAGCACAGCCTTCCCTTTGGTTCTGAGTTAATTTTCTTTGAGAACTGAACTGAGGTCCTCCCATGTGCTAGACAGATGAATTGTCATTGAAGTTCACTCTGAGCTCCCAACCTTCCCTTTTAACAAGTGTAATTCTAGTGCTGTGTTTGAGAGGGAGAAGAAAAGGAAAACCAAAAAGACTAGAAGGGGATGGGGGAATAGGATTAGGAGACTACCCATAGTGGTCAATGGAGATTTATTTATTGTGTACGTGTGTTCCTGTGTGTGTGTGTGTGAGAGAGAGAGAGAGAGACAGAGACAGAGACAGAGACAGAGACAGTCTCATTATATAGTCTAAGGTGTCCTTAAACTCATGGCAGCTTTTCTGAGAGAGAGAGAGAGAGAGAGAGAGAGAGAGAGACAGAGACAGAGACAGAGACAGTCTCATTATATAGTCTAAGGTGTCCTTAAACTCATGGCAGCTTTTCTGCCCCAGCTTCCCAAGTGCCAGGGAAGACATTCCCCATACCAATAGTGTTTTCGACCTAAGTGACAGATGTGTGAAGTGATTGGAATTAGGTATATAATGATTCTAGAGCTAAATGGATTTGCCTTGGATTATAAGGAAAACTTACATTTCAAGGAGAAAAAACAAACTTGTGCTAGAATGGCTACAAGTCCTATCGACTGGAATGGAGATGACCACAGTGGAAGTGCATAGAATGTCAGTAGTTCGGGCAGAGTACAGGGAAGCTTAGGAAAGAAGTGGGAAACAGCAAGATCTGGAGAGGACAGGAACTCCACAAGGAGAGCAACAGAACCAAAAAATCTGAGCACAGGGGTCTTTCCTGAGACTGATACTCCAACCAAGGACTATGCATGGAGATAACCTAAGACCCCTGCACAGATGTAGCCCATGGCAGTTCAGTATCCAAGTGGTTCCATTGTAATAGGAACAGGGACTGTCTCTGACATGAACTGATTGGCCTGCTCTTTAATTACCTCCCACTGAAGGGGAAGCAGCCTTACCAGGCCACAGAAGAAGACAATGCAGCCACTCCTGATGAGACCTAATAGACTAGGATCAGAAGGAAGGAAAAGAAGACCTCCCCTATCAGTGAACTTGGGGAGGGGCATGCATGCAGAGGGTGGAGGAAGGGAGGGATTGGGACAGGAGGAGAGAGGGAACCACAGGGAGGATATAAAGTGAATAAAGTATAATTAATAAAGAATTAAAAAATTAAATTAAAAAAAGAATGTCAGTAGTTCAAGCTAGGGGTGGTGCACACCTATAATCTTAGCACTTGGGAAGGTGAGACAAGAGGCTTGCTCACACTTGAGGATAGCCTGGGCTATAGAGCAGGACGTGTCCCCTAAAAACAAAAGAATGTCAACAGTTGGGTTTGGGTTGTGTTCAAAATGTGTGTTGAACACCTACTTTGGGTTTGCTCATCAAACCTTGGTGGGGAATACAGTATCAGAGAAGTAGCATGTAGGTATCCGGGAGTGAACCAGTGGTGGCTGAAGCATTAACAGTGTCTCTCCAGAAGATGTGATGAGTAGATGTTGAACTTAGAAATGTTTATGAAAGAATTAGTGGTGGAGAGAGAGAAAGTGCTGAGAGAGAGACAGAGAGAGAGCAAGAGAGTGCTGAAGTGTCTGGATTATATAGTAAAGAGCCTCTAGGGGAGAGAGGTAGGTACTGAGGGGTGCTGGGAGAACCTGGAAGCCAGGTCCACTTTGTATATTAAATAGGCACCTCAGCTGCTTATCTCTGGTCTGAATCCCAGCATTGCTTTTTAAATTTTACTCTTTAAAAGATTGTGTGTGTGTGTTTGTGTGTTTGCTCCTGCATGCATACAGTCACCTAGGGTTTAAAATTTTTTTTATATGTATGCATACGTGTCTGTGTGTATATATGTCTGTGTGGGGCTCCTTTGGAGGTCAAAAGAGAGTGTTACAGGAGGTTCTTAGCTGCCCACCCATTATGGGTTCTGGGAATTGAACCTGAGTCCTTTGTAAAAAACAGCAAGTGCTCTTAACCACTGAGCCATCTCCCCAGCCCTGGAGGTGTCTATTTCTATTTTATTTATTTTTTTAGACAGGGTCTCATTATATATCCTGACTGACCTGGAACTCACTGTTTAGACTCACAGAGGTCCACCTGCCTCCATATCCCAAGTGCTGGGATTAAAAAGATGCACCACCATTTCTGGCCTGTGTGCCTATTTTAAAGCCCACATTTTCCCCTTGTTAAACTCTTCCTTTTTGCTATGCCAATGCTCTTTTTATTTAAGTATATTTAATTTATTTTATATAGTAAATATATTTAATATATTTACTATATTTAAGTATAGATTTATACTTCTATCTCAGGGTTTTATTGCTGTGAAGAGACACTCTGACCATGGCAACTCTCACAAAGCAAAACTAGCTCATAGTTTCAGAGGTTTAGCCCATTGTCAACGTGGTGGAAAACATGGCAGTGTGCAGGCAGACATGGTGCTAGAGAAGGAGCTGAGAGTGCTCCATCTTAATCCACAGGTAGCAGAAGGAGCCTGTCTGCCACACTGGGCATGGCTTGAGCATAGGAGACCTCAAGGTCCACCCCCACAGTGACATACTTCCTCCAACAAGACCACACTTGTTCCAACATGGCCACATGATAGTGCCAGACCATATGAACCAAGTATCCAAACACAGGAGCCTGTGGGGCCATTCCTAGTCAAACCACCACAGCTTCCTTCACAGGGATCCTCAACCTTCACTCCTACTTACCACTGCTCTGATTATTTCAGTGGGATAATTAGATGCTCGGCGGCTTCCTCTCAGACTGTTAAATGGTTGATTTTCAAATCTCTATCGGTAGCCCAGACCAGATTGTTTCTGAGTTCCTCCTATGCACACTTGGGTGTTTATGTGTTTGATTTTAGATCTAGATTTACTCATTTTATCTGTGAGGTGTTCTTCCTGTATGCATGTGTGTGCGTCATAGGAATGCTTCCCATGGGGTCGGAAGGGGGTCTTGGATCCCCATGGTTACGGATGGTTGTGGACCACCATGTAGGTGTTGGGGACTGAACCTGTGTCCTTGGTGAGAGCAGACAGTCTTCTTACACGCTGAGCCATCTCTGCAGCCCCCATATCCAGCTTCTGATAATGAGTGTCGGGGATCCGAACTCAGGTTCTCATACGAACAGGAAGCATTTTACTCCCACACTTCCAACCCTCAGTTTTAGGTTAAATTTTGTCTAGAATGTGAAATAACGGTCTGTTTTAGCCTTTGCTGGGTATCTAAAGGCCACAAGAAAGTTGGTTTTCTTTTTATTCTGTCACTGAAGTGTCAGTTGAGTTCTCCTCATCCTGTCAGTCATCGAGTACCTGTTACTCTGACTCAGCTCATCTTTACAGCTCTTAGTTCAATTTCCAGAGAAAAGACAAGTGATCTGGCGGGCAGGACTCTGGTGTCGCCAAGTGTCAGTAGAGGAGGGTTTGTGCTTGTTTTGTTTGTCTCTTTGATTGTGTGTATGTGTGTGGATATGTGTTATGCGTGTACAGGCGCGGGAATAGGGTGTTTGGTTCCCTGGAGCTGTTGTTGTGAGCTACCTGACGGGGGTTCTGGGAACCAAAATGTGTGTCTGGAAGAACAGCAACCTCTGAGCCTTCTCTCCAGCCCAGAGAATTCTTGTTTTTAACCTGTTCTCACGCGTGGAGTGTTCATCCTTCAAAGATCAGTCAGTGAATGCCCTTTCTCTTGAAACCATTATCTCGGTTAGTGATCTCTCGGTTAGTGATCTAGCCTCCCTCTGATCTCTTAATGTTTGCGATTATTACCACTGACTTGCTAATAATACTCTAGTATGTGGTTTCATGTGTGTCTGTTCCCAAGAGATGTAAAATTAACATCTGCCTCCAAACTGGATTAGTACCAGCATTCCAAGAAATGACTCCCTCAAGTGCACCTAGGTGGGTACAGAGAGTTTACCAGGGATTGCTTAAGGAGCTGTGGATGGCTGAAGATGGCTGCGCGTCCCCTCCCTCCGTACCCAGCAGCTGTGTAAAGCCTGTGATAGTTGATGGGAACCTGGCTTGAGAGCAGTGCCCAGTGTTAAGGCAGCAGTATGTACAAGTCACGCGGCAACTCTCAGACAATCACCGTGCGTGGCGCTGCAGGTGACTACAGACTCAGCGCCTGTAAAGCATAGACGAGCGTTCAGAGGGAAGCTACTTCTTTGTGTTCTACGCAGGGTCTGCATTCTTGCAAGACACCAGACCTGGGGAGGACGGCTTGTTTTACTACAGTCTGCCGTGCAAAACAGTTAAAAGGTGGCTTGTGAAAGATGGAGGTCCTCTGGCTAGGAATCAAAGGACTTAGTCTCATTACACATCTTTGTCACCTTCTGCTGGTCTTCTTTTGTTTTATTTTCACTGTTGTTTGGAAGCAGGATCTCTCTATATGGCTATCCTGGAACTCAGGATAGACCAGGCTGGCCACAAACTCACAAAGATCCCCGGCTGGTATTAAAGGCATATGTCACTGTGCCCAGCTATTCTACTTTTATTAAGTTTTCATGTGTTCAGTGCTTTTTCAGCTAAGTTGTTCTTTGAGAATGGTGGCTATATCTAAACAAGGAAACAAACAAACAAACAAAAAGGGCCCTTGAAACAAGCCATCTATTTGATAGGGGCTAATTTCTTCAAATTTGTTGTAATATCTTATACTCAAAAAAACTGCTTGAAATAAAATCAGAGAAGGACATTATATCATTATTAGTTTTTACTTCTCTTAAACACAGTAGTGATATGAAATTCAACTAGCCAGATACTTAGTTTAAAACTTTTCATTTTTAAATTAAATTAATCTTTTTTGTGATACTGTGGTTCAAATCCAGGGCATCAGCCATGTATACAAGGCAAGGGCTGTACCCTAAGCTCCATTCCTCACCGTATTCAGATTTTTAATGGACACAATTATTCTGCACCCTTTTGATGTACACTGTGCACTGATCAGTCAGGACAAGTAGATTGTCCATGGATTGATCGATTTTTCATGTTGGGAACATCCAGCATCTTAACCCTTGGCCCTTGCTGTTCTTTCCTAGGCAGCTCGATGGTGGGAGAAGAGAAGATGTCGCTGAGAAAACGGCTGGCAAAATCTGGTGAAAATCCTGAGGAAGATGAAGCCCAGAGAAATATCTTGGACACACAGAGAAATGGTAAGGGTTATAAAGTTTCCAAGGTAAATTAAGGAGCTTAGAAAGCAAGTTCACTGATCAAGGCAGGGCTTGTAATATATTTTTTTGTTACCAATCTGTATTGGTGGTTTTATATATCTAATAAGTTCATGTAAGTTAATGTAGTGATTGGCTGGAGAGATGCTTCAATGGTGAAGAGAACTTGTTCCTGGTTGCAATTCCAGCACCCACATGGTGGTTAATATCTGTCTATAACTCCAGTTCCAGGGAGTAGGCCAGTGCCATCTTCTGGCCTCTGAGAATGCACTGCATGGACATGGCACACAGATACACATGGGACAAAACTCTGTACACATAAAATAAAAGTAAACAAATAAAAATTACTTCAACAAACATTTCTGCTGTGTTTTAGGTATTAACCATTCGTTTAACCAGCGTAGACTACAGTAATTATTGAAATGGCCTGCTGGACCCCTGATTACAGAAGTGATCAATACATGCGCGTTTGCATTTATGGAGCTTCAAGTTACATGAATGGCAGAGCCCTCAAAATCCTGTAGAGGTGGGGGTGTAGTTCACGGATGCCTTGGGTTTGTTCCCCAGCATAACCAAACAAAACCAAACCAAAAAGCCCCACATAATTAAATTACCACAATTAAGTATAACCTTATAAAGCTACCAATATTATAATAGATATAAAGAACAAAATTGAGCAGGGAGCAGGGCCTGAACTGGTGTATAAATCTTGGGAGAAAGGGAGAAACTGGGGCATTAATTATTTGTTAATGCATGAAGAGCACGATGCAGCTCTTGTCAAAGTGGAGGCTTATGGGTAAGCGTGGTAGATTTGTTGGCGCTCCAATCCTCGTGATGCCATCTGTTGCATCAGGATGTTTACCTTTTGCAGTGACATTTATATCGTTATCCTTCGTTAACCGAGACTTGTTTGGTTAACAAATAGGGAAGGACTTCCAGAGGCAGGTTGTCTTTGGCATCCTCAGACTTCCTTTCATAGAGGGGCTCTCTTTAACCTTTCCTGCTTCAAGTGTCGGCAGCCAGACTGCAGCAGGGCTGTGAGTGAGGCTGTTGAGTTGGCATAATGAGGTTTATCAACATACTCTTAACTATTTATGACATATTGCACGTGGTCAGGTTCTAATATGATAGAAAGTGAAATTTATGCAAAGGAGGATGAGTCAGCATTGGAAAGAAGTATTCTCCTTCCCTTTGTTATTCGTGGTCTTGTCTTGGTGATAGCCTGGATTTCCACACATTAGTTTTCCACTTATTTATTTATTTTCTAAAGTTGATACTTCTTAGAGACCAGAAAAGTATTATCGATACTTTGCGTCATCATCATTACATATATTTCACTCTTTAAAAAAGCTGTTTTATTCAAGAGTGTTTTTCTATGTAGCCTGGCTTCAGCCTCCCAAGTGTGGGGATTAGAGGCATTCGGCACCATGCCCAGTTTCATGCAGGCTTCCTGCTCCCTAGGCAAATAGTCTATTGAGCTAAATCGCCAGCCCGGAGTTGTACTCATTCTAGGTTTTAATACAGCTGTTAAAAAGTTAATGTTGTTTAGCATGAATTCAGAAGTGTGACACCCTCCTTGTCTGATACAGGTATAACGCTGATCGGAAAACAAAGTGTGAAATCTGGATGAGTAGAACGTGGCCTTTGAGTTGCGAGGACTTGCAGGCCTTTCAGTGTGGATGAGCAAGCAGGCCAACCTAGGAGCCTGTTGCTTCACCACCTCACATGTGTTATAGGATTATTGGTGGTCCATATACGAGTTAAAATTTGAGGTACAGCTTTTATTTATTTAGTTGCCTGTCTTTTTTTTTTTTTTTTTTTTTTTTGAGACAAGGTCTCATGTAGCCCCAGCCAGCCTGGAAGTTGTTATGGAGTTGAAGTTGCCTTTGAACTTTTGGTCCTCTTGCCTTTACCTCCTAGGTGCTGGGATCATGGGTGTGCACCACCATGTCCAGCTTGAGACACAGCGTTTAGAGTGTGGCATATATCATTTGGGGTATGAATGACAGTCACTTCTGAATGTACAAATTATCCAATACAGCAGCTTGAGATCTGAAGCAGAATCTCCTGGCGAGGCCCTGAGGTGTGAGGTATGAAAGAGCCTGCCATTGGTGCTGATTGTTTCCGGTGCTCAGATACTCTTGCCAAGAAGAACTGACACCTAACTTCATTATGCTTCACCAGTCTACCTCTACAGATGTAGTGGCACATGCCTTTAATCCCAGCTCTCAGGAGGCAGAAGCTGGCGGATCTCCGTGAATCCATAGTGATCCCATAGTGATCCCATGTCTCAAACCAACAAGCAAGCAAGCAAGCAGATAAAGATAGTGCTTTTTGGGGGTTGTAGAGATAGATGGCTTAGTGCTTAAGAGCACTCACCACTCTTGCATAGGATCTGGGCTCAGTTCCTAGCACCCGCATAATGGCTTGCAACCATCCTAACTCCAGTTCTAGGGAATATGACTCTTCTGACTTCCTCAGGCACCAAGCACGAGCATAGTGCACAGATACATATGCAGGCAAAACATTCATATACACATAAAATAAATAAATCTAAAACAAACCTTGTGTATGTATGAGGCAGAGACACCGAGGTCTGCCAGGCTTACACAGTGAGACTATGTCTCAAGAACAAACACCCAAAGCAGAGAAAGCTGCTTAGGGAGAGGGCGGCACATACCTAAGGGTGGTGTGGGCTTTCCAGGAGTGTCTCAGTACCCTTGTTCACCATCTCAGTGGCCGGTATCCTTCCCAGAATTTGTCAGGCACTTTCTCCCTCCCCTTTTCCAGTAAATGAGATCACTGGGTTTCCTGAGGTGCCTTGGGTACGATTACAATCTGATAAGTAAAACTGTGGGTCATAAAGGTTGCTCAGAGAATTAAGGCCTGTTTTTAAACTGTGAACAAATTCCAGTCTTGCTTTTGAGATTGCCAGAACATTGTAGATTTACATCCAGAAAAGGAGTTTATGTTCTCAGGCATGATCCAGTGCTGTTTGGACAGCCTTTCTTGGTTTTTCCAGACAAGACTTCTCCTTAGCTCTGGCTGCCCAGGAGTTCTGTGTAGAGCTATATAGATCCATCTACCTCTGCCTCCCGAGCACTGGGATGAAAGTCTGTGAGAACATTCTTATTGGAGATGTCTCTTCAAGGGCTATATTCTCTGTTACCAACCTTTACTGAAAAATTTAATTTTGTTGGGGTATTTATTTTTTATTTTTTTTTATTTTTGTATATAGGGGTATATGCATGTCTGAGTGAAACTGCCAACAGAGGTAGAGGCAGGATAATTAGGGGTTCAAGGTTTCATTTACACAGCAAGTTTGAGGCTAGTCTCAGATAACTGAGACCTTGTCCACAAAACAAACAAACAAAAAACCAGAACAACAACAAAAAACCAAACAAACCTTACTCTGTGAAAATTCCTAAGTTTAACTATTCTATTGGCCTTAAGATGGCTTTCTTTTATCCTTTTTCAAGATTTACTTTTATAGTTGGGTATGGTGGCGCACGCCTGTGATCCCAGCGCTCAGGAGGCAGAGGCAGGTGGATCTCAAGCTAGCCTGGTCTACAAAGCAAGTCCAAGACAGCTAAGGCTACACAGAGACTCTGTCTCGAGATACAAAAATAAAAAATAAAAAAAAATTACTTTCATTTTATGTACATTGGTGTTTTGCCTGTTTGTATATGTGTTAGGGTAGCAGATCCCCTGGTACTGGAGTTAGAGACAGTTGTGAACTTCACGAGGGTGCTGGGAATTGAACTTTTGGAAGAGCAGTCAGTGTTCTTAACCCCAGAGTCATCCCTCCAGTCTCTTGCAGATGTCTTTCAAATGACTCTTACTTTTAACCCTTCATGGCAAGCATGGATAAAGCTAGGATGAAAGTAGTCTAAGAAAATGGTCAGTGGGGTGTTTTAAGAAAAAAAAAAAAAAAAAAAAAGGAGGAGGTTAAAAAAATATTTATGTATATGAGTATTTTGCCTTCATGTGTAGGTGTGTACCACTTGTGTGCCCAGTACCCACGAGGTCAGAAGAGGGCGTTGGATTTGCAGATGGTTGTGAGTCACCATGTAGATGCTAGGAATCGGACCCAGGTCCTCTACAGCCTAATCTCCAGCAATAATAAAAAATTTTAAATCAGCCACAAGGAGAGCAACAGAACCAATAAATCTGAGCACAAGGGTCTTTCCTAAGACTGATACTCCAACCAAGTACCATGCATGGAGATAACCTAAGACCCCCTACACAGATGTAGCACAGTTCAGTCTCCAAGTGGGTCCCATAGTAATGGGAAGAGGGAGTGCCTCTGACATGAACTGATTGGCCTGCTCTTTAATTTCCTCCCCTGAGTGGGGAGCAGCCTTGCCAGGCCACGGAGGAAGACAATGCAGCCACTCCTGATGAGGCCTAATAGACTAGGATCAGAAGGAAAGAAAAGAAGACTTCCCATATCAGTGGACTTGGGGAGGGACATGTGTTGAAAAGAGGGAGGAAGGGAGGGGTTGGGAGGGGAGGGGGAGGGAGCTACAGGGGGATACAAAGTGAATAAAGTGTAATTAATACAAAATTTAAAAAAAAGCAAAACAAATAAAACAGGAAAAGGACAGAAATTTTTTTTTTTTTTAATCAATGTGGCCTTCAGTAGGCAAGAAAAACTTGCTTGTTAGCTCCTGTGCATTAGCTAATTCTGTACTTGCTGCAAGCAGACGAATGTAAGAGCTGAAACCTGGAAAATGACTTGTCACCTTGTAGCACTGTGGGTCCTGGGAAACCAAACTGAAGGCTGCAGCTTAACAGCAAGTACCTTCAGCAGCTGAGCCATTACCGTCCCGAGCTGATTCACCATGCAGCTGGTGACCCAGAAAACAAGTCTGTAATAGCCACCTTTTGGCAAAAGCGTCCTAAATGCAATGTTGTAAAGCGATGCGAGCTGATATTTGACCCAGGGTAAAGTCCCAGGACTCTAACAAGTCTTCAAGCGATTTTCTTTTCTTCTGGAGAAATTGTTTTGGCATATGCTTACCATCATTTTTCTTTATCATTTGAGACTCTATCTACCTATACATACATATATATACTTACATACATATAATAAAATATTCAAAACACACTAAATAAATAAATAAATATGTTTATTTTATTTACATTGCTAGGGGTCTAACTCAGGGATTTAGCCCAGGCATCCTACCACTGAACTATACTCCCAGCTCCTTAGCTCAAATATTAATTGTCACAGTTTCTTATACACATACACACACACACCTACCCCTGTCCTTCTGAGTATTATAATCCTGTTTGTGTACCTGTCCTCAGAGTCCAAAGGAAGAATTTCATGTCTACAAAGTAGGTTTGGAACCGAATAAACAGATGTCACCTATCTAATAGCATTGTTGTCACAAAAGTGCAGGATTATTAAGGGAACAGCAGAGAAAGGGTGTAACTTGGCGTTGTTTTCAAAACACATTAAAGTCAGATTTTGACCCTCGAGGAATAGGCTATAAACTATTTTTTTCTTATGGTGTGTGTATGTATGTGTGTGTGTGTAAACTCAAGCCTGAGGACAACTTTTAGCAGTTGGTTCTTTACTTCAAGCACGTGGGTTCTGGGATTGGGCTTTGGTCCTCAGGCTTGCTGGCAGGCAGGCGCCTTTACCCCTTGATCTATCTCAGTGACCAAAAGAATTTTTACTAGATCGGTACACCAGCCAGTTTAGCGCAGCCTAGGAATAATGCTTAGATGTGTCTGATAGAGGTTTATCAGTGTTAGCTAACTTAATTCATGGCAAGTAAACATTGCACAGAGCCTAATCTTCTCTTCTCCTCCTCCTTTTTTCTTTTGTTGTGATTGTCTTTCTGTATCCATGGCTGCCCTGAAGCTTACACCTCAGGAGGCAAAGGCAGGCAGGCAGAGTTCAAGACCTGCTTGGTCTACATAGCATGTTCCAGGCCAGTCAGGGATACACAGTGAGACCCTGCCTAAATAAATAATTTATGCGACAAGCTAATGTCATTGCCCCTGCTGCTTCTCTTACAGTCTGTAACTGGGAGGAGCTCCTTTGTTCTTGGAACTCTATCTATTAGAACTGTTGAAGACCTTGGCTCATTCCTTGACCTTCCCGGCCCGGGAGGGACTGTACTTATCTGCTGGTAGTCTGGGAACACAGCTTGAGTTTCCTTTTAAACAAACACACTCGGAGGTTTTTGAGATAGCAAAAGTTTAGGTTTCAAAATCCACTGAAGTGTCACAGGTTTTCAGGGAGACTGGCCATCTTTTGAAGGAGGGACGGACTCATTTTCATTCTGCTCCATTCTGTTCCCTTCCAGGGCACCGAGGACGTGGCCATATGGGTCCTTAACTGTAAGGTGGCATTCTGTTAGACTTCCTATTCTGAAGTGCAAACAGGCCCTAGGTTTTGGCATTCTGTAAAGAACTAGACTTTGGGTCCTGCTCCATGACAGGAGCACATGCGGTGTGCATTTGGTCAGAATCTGTGTGCTTGTCACATATTCCTTAGGGTTCTTGCTTCACCTATCCTTTGTTGTGTGGACTTGGACCAGCTTGCAATGAGTCTGTTTAAGATTTTTTTTTTGAAGTTTAATTATGTATTAATGTGTGTGCATGAATGCACATGTGAGTGCAAGTACCCTGTTGGCTAGAAGAGGGTGTCGTAGGCTCCAGAGAAAAGGGCAGGCAATTGTGCACAGCCTGACTTGAGTGTTGGGAACAAGCTTAGGTCCTTTGCAAGAGCAGCAAGCACTCTTAAGCACAGAGCTTTAAACCCCCCAACCCCAGCAATGAACCTTAAAAGCAAGCCCTTTCATTCTTAATGTTTTATTCAGGATCCTCATAGTCTCAGGTAAAGATCTGTTCTGGGAGCTAATCTCTCACATTGCCAGAAGTGGACCCATAGCTGCCTGTGTAACCGTCTCAGATTGCCTGTGCTTCTGCTGTGTTTTGCATCATGATGTATGCATTCATCTTCACATTTGCTTGCTTTTGACTTAATGGTTTTCTGCTGCTTCATAATCAACTTAAAGCTGGGTTTTAAACATTCAATTATTTTCTTTCCCTTAGGTCACATTACCATGAAACAGTTGATAGCCAAGAAGAGGCAGTTGGCAGCAGAGGCAGAGGTAAATATCTTTTCTTTTTTTTTCCCCCAGAAGTAGGAACACAGGGTTTTAGGTAAAGTAACATTTAAATATTCTTAATTTATTTAGTTAAGTTTTATTTCATTTTTTAGACAGGTTCTCATGTAGCCCAGGACTGACCTGGCGTTCCTGATCCTCACATCTGCTTGTTACTTTATTACTGTTATTGTGACTGTATGTTGGAAGTCAGACAGCAATTCTCTCCTTCTGATTGAACTCGGGCTGTCAGACCTGGCAGCCAGCGCCTGTACCAGCTGAGCCATCTCCCTGGCCCAGCCCCATTTTTGTTTTTATTTATTTTTAGTTTTTTTAGATTTCCCCATTGAATCCAGGCTGGCTTGGACAGTGGCTCCTCCCACTTCCACCTCTGCAGTGCCCACGTGCTGGCCCATTATCTTCCTGTGAGAGTTATTTGCCTTTCTCGTTAGCTGACGTTGTGCCATGGACAGGAAAATAAGATCTGTCACTTTGTCATCCACGTAAGGACACACATTGCCCTTCTCTCTGGTTCAATCCGTCAGTGTCATCATCCGGCTTTTACAAGCAAATCTCTGCAGTGAACTCTGTGAGCAGCTGATTGTGGCCATGCTTGTACCGTGTGCTTGTGAAAGTCCCTGCCATCTGCTTCCATTAAATGTCCTGAATCTAGAAGCTAGTTACCTGTCCGGGAAGTAGAAATCATTTTAAAAACTAGTGTGAAGTCATTTTAAGTGTTGGCAGACTGTCCTGTGAACCATGTAGGCTCGGCAGTGCCTATATGAGGTTTTCCAAAAATTTGTGATTTTAATTTGACTGTGTTCAACTTTTTCCTCTTCCAATGAGATTGCTATTAAAGTTGACTGACGAAATTGAAAATATACTCAGTGTCCAATGACCTGTTTTAGTTTTCCAGTTCCCTTTCAAGGCCATAAAAATGTTATTTCCCTTTCTTTTACTTTGTTTAAAACATAGTAACTTTCTTTAAAACTTTCTTTAGCCTTGGATGATGCTCTCACCAGAAATATTAGTACAAGAACCTATTCGATTAACATTAATAGATTATTTTCCACACATCATACTCTGAGTCCGTGGTTCTCAGCCTTCCTAATGCTGAGACTCTTTAATACAGTTCCTCATGTTGTGGTGCCCACAACCATAAAATTATTTCTTTGCTACTTCATAACGGTATTTTGCCACTGATAGGAATCATAATGTAAATATCTGACATGTGACCCCTGTGGGGTTACAACCCGCAGGTTGAGTACCACTGCTCTAAGTGTATTTATGATGCCTGCTGAACCGCTTTATAAAGTGGTACTCAAAGAAGCTGCTAACTTACATTTTATTTATTTTATGCGTGCGTGGGTGTGTCACAGTGAGTGTGTCGGGCAGAGGACTGTTGTGGGTTGTTCCCTCCTTCCATCATGTGGGTCCCAGGGGTTGCACTCAGATTTTCAGGTGTGATAGCAGCTGTCCTCACTGGCTGAGCCGTCTTGCTGGTTCAGTCAGTGCCTTTTCTAACTAGTACTTCATTGCTCCAATGAAAGGGCGACAGGAAGTGCAGAAATGGGGAAAGTTTCACAGATGTAAGTGAACTTTTTGGGCTTGGTTTTGTTATTTTGGGACAGGCTTCCAGTCAAAGGTCAAACCTCACTTTTTTTTGTTGTTGTTTGTTTTGTTTTTTGTTTCACTCTGTAGCCTTGTCTGTTCTGGACTGTTATAGACCAGGCTGGCTTCGAAAACCCAGATCCGCCTGCCTCTGCCTTCTGAGTGCTGGTATTACAGGCATGCACCACAGCGCCCAGCTTCAAACTTCACTTTCTATTTGGCTATGCAGATCTGGCTATATTCTTCTGAATTTCTTTTCTCATTTTACTCATTTGAAAAAACTAGAGAGACTGTGCCCTTGGGAATGTTTGGCCTTTCAGATAAAGATGAAAGAGCTGTCCATGTTTAGTGTAGACTCACAGGACTTGGCCTCTTCGCCTGCCTAGCACTGTGCTCATGCTGCTAGGTTTTGGAATTTTTTTTTTTTTTGTTTTGTTTTTAAGACAGGATTTATTTTTTATTTTATTTTATTTTTTTACCTTGCAGCAAGATCTTACCTTGTAACCCATGCTGGCTTTTAAACTTGAGATATTTCTCCTGCTTCAGCCTTCCAGGTGCAGGGTTTGCAGGCATAAACCACCATACCTCACCTATTGTTCTAGTCTATTTTATGGTTAATGCAACGAAAACAAAACATCAAAACTAGTCAAGGGATAATGATTTTCATGACAGGGGATTGAGGAACACTTTTTCCGTATGCTCTATTTAATATCTCTGAAATTGGAATAGATACACTGGGCTATGTGTACAATTTATATTCTGTCTTCTTCCTTTCCCTCTTTTTCTCCCCTCCTCTCCCTACTCCTCAGGAAGCAGGGTCTCTTGTATAGCCCAGGCTGTACTCAAACACACCATGAGATTGAATTTTGTGTTGAACTTTTGATCTTAGTCACTCTTCATGGCATGTGACAAGTCTGGAGAGGAATCTTTAATCTTAGTACCATACAGAAATCAGCTTCATCTAGATTAGATAAAATTCTTTAAAAATGAGAAGATAACTGGGCACGATGACAAACACTTGTTAATTATTCCAGCACTTGTACAGTAGATGGAGGAGGATGAGGTGTTCAAGGTGTCAAGTTTGAGGCCTGGGCATTTAAGACCCTGTCTCAAAACAATGCTAACAATAAAACAACCACAAAAAGAGAAGATGCTTTGCTTTCTCCTCTGGTAACACTTTTACTAAGAAAAAAATGCTCACAGTTTAAGATTTTATCCTATTGTTATATTGTAACACCGATTGGTTTTCCGAGCAGAAGGAATATATTTTCTTACACACTTTTTTTTCTCATTGCAGAGAACCCCTAAGAGAAACATTATAAAAGAGAAATAGCTACCAATTAAATGCTTGCCACCAGGAGATAGCATTTTGTCTTATTTTCTTCCTGACTATTTGTTTTTCCTTCCTGTCATGCACACAGTTCTGTGTAGATACGTGTGTAGAGCTTGCATCTATCTGTATAGGGAGGATATGCACACACACACATGCACATTGCTCTCTGTTTAGTTTCATATTGTTCTTAACATTTTCTGCTTGTATGTTATATATTTTAATGTGTTTTCATTTATAGTTCTTTGTGTGGATGTCTCATTTGTTAACTATGAGGAATATAATTTTACTACTTCTCTACTTTGGATTTTCATAAAGACTAATGAAGAAGTGAAGGAGGTAGATAACATGGGAAAATAAAATATATCCCTTGGTGACGGGGTGTGGTAGCACACACCTATAATCCTAAAACTCACTAGGCTGAAGCATTTCAAGTTCAAAGTTATCCTGGGCTACACAGTAAAACCCTGTCTTTAATAATACTAAACAACTAACAAAACATTTGGAAGGTAAAGATACATAGGCTATTTAAGTGGATAAATATGTTTTGGCTTAGTGTGGACTGATACAATGACAATATTGTAGACTAAATTGGGTGATAGCCCAGTGTGAATACTGACACAAGGTCTCTCTATCTCAAGTGGGCCTTAAAGTCTGTAGGCAAGGGTGACTTTGAACTTTGCTCCTTTGGCTTTTCTATCTTATAAATGATGAAATGTCAGGTCGACAAAGTCACGGGTGGTTTTTGCTGTGCTGACAGCAAATCCCAGGCCTCCTGAATGTTAGGAACATTCTGACAACTGATCTGTATCCACAGATGCTCCCTGTCCCCTCTTACCTTTTGAAACAGAAGTTCAAACTGCTCACCTACGCTGGTGAGACTGGAAGCAATTCTCCTATTCTAGCTTTCCATGTACTGGGGTTACTGTCCCGTACCACCAAGTCCAGCTTGCAAACCCCTGTTTGCATTCAGTGATTGACTTAACTAAATAAGGCCTTCACATTACCTGTCATTTTCAGGCTACATGTACACATAGACTTTTTAATTCTTTTAGACAGGGTCTTTCCATGTAGCTCTGGCTGTCCTGGACTTGCTATGTAGACCAGGCTGGCCTCAGACTCACAGAGATCCATCTACCACCTACATTTGCCTCCCAAACACATTTGATATTTTGTAGTATTTTTTTTCTCCCTAAATTTTTTTTTCTTTATGGTACTGTTCATATATAGAAAAATATTTCAGATAGTTTGGTGGAAAGCAATACAGTGTAATGAAATCTGAGGTTGTGTGGACCCAGGTTTTCCCCAGCTCAACAGGTTCTGGGATTTCTGCAAATTTACCCGCTTCTTTAACTAACCCTCTTCACTCCAGGCTGGGGATGGAACACAGGGCCTCTCCCCAGCTCAGTCAGATCTGTCACCAAGCCATAGCCCTAGCTCTTCAGTTGACTTTTTAAAGTTTAGGTTTCCTATGTGTAAAATAAGAGCTATAACGCTTACTTGTTTAAAGGCTAGGGATACTACATAGAAGCCCCCAACAGAGATCATAGCAGCCATTTAATAAACAGTGGTCATGGTGATTTTTTAAAATTCCTTTTCCCTTCAGAGCTTCCAGGAAAAAAAGTCAAGGTGTGGTGTTTTGTTTTTGGATTTAGTTTTATTGATTTTTTTGAAACAGGGTTTTTCTTTGTAGTAGCCCTGGCTATCCTGGAACTCCCTCTATAGACTAGGCTGGCCTCGAACTCAGAGATCTGCCTATCTCTGGCCCTGAGTGCTGGGACTAAAAGCCTGTGTCACCACTGCCCAGCTTTGACTCGTTTTTAGTAACCCATTTTAATATTCTTTATAACAAAGATTATCCAGGAGAGTTTGGAACTGGTTGGTTCCACTGTTGTTGGGAAATTACAAAGTCATTGAAGTTTCTTTTATGAGTGCTGGGTGCATAATATACAAATAGAGGCGGTGTTTAGCTAGACATGGTAGCACATGCTAGGAGCACCCTAGGAGGCTGAGGCAGGAGGATCACTTCCAGTGATCCTGGTCAGTCTGGGCTAGACAATGAGAC